CCAGGCTGGCATCCTCCACCCTTCAGCTCCCGCGGGGCTGGAAGGTCGAGTGCAGGATCAGGGGGTGTTTGGGTTGGGAGGGAGCTCCAGAGGTCACCCGGGCCAACCCCTGCCCTCAGCAGGGATGTCTCCAGCAGGATGCTCAGAGCCTCACCCAGCCTGACCCTGGATGTCCCCAGGGGTGGGGCCTCCACCAGCTCTCTGGGCAATTCCAGGGATCTGTCACCCTCACACTGAAGAACTTTTGCCTAAGGTTTAACCTAAATCTCCCCTTTTCTAGCTTAAAGCCTTGTGCTGTCACTCCAAGTCCTTGTGAACAGACCCTCCCCTGCTTTCTAAGGTCTCCCCAGAGCCTCCTCTTCTCCAGGCTGAGCAACCCTCAGCCTGTCCTCACAGCAGAGCTCCAGCCCTCTAATCATTTCTGGGGCTCTCCTCTGGCCCCACTCCAGCAGGTCCACGTCCTCCCTGTGCTGGGGGCTCCAGAGCTGGGCACAGACTCCAGGTGAGGGCTCACCAGGGCAGAGCAGAGGGGCAGGATGCCCTCTCTCCATCTGCTGGCCACAGCTACCCAGCAGCATGGCACTCCTTTCTTATTGGAACTCTTACAACTTTTTATTTTGGATTTTTTTACCATTTTTTCTTAGCACTCTTACTGTGCACAATCACATCAAACCTGTGGAGGTTGGACCTCCCGATGGTCCTAGAGGTCCTCTCCAGGATTCCCTGATTCTCTGATTTCTGTGTCAGCCTGAACAAAGCCAGAGGAACTGTGCAAGCTGCTCTCAGTCCAGACAGGGACACTGCTTCGTGCTGCCAGTTAACCCCACGCAGAGGAACAGGAGGACCCAGGCTGTCAGCAGAACAGGCTCTAGGAGGACGTGTCAGGGCTGTCTGCTGGGGGGGAGAAAATCCCTGGCTGGCTTTAGAAACAGCCTGTGCACCACTGATGCTGGATTTGCACAAAGCTTGCTTTCAAAAGCCAGAAATCACAACTGCTGCTGGCCCCAGCCATCTGTGTTTATTCAGGGAGTATTTCCAGAGCATCCAGGGCTGTTTGGGCCTGGCCACCTCCTGCCAGGCAGCTCCCTGCTGGCACAGCTCCCTGGTGCAGCTGGAGACACAGAAGTGGGAAGTGAGGTCACACATTGCTAATGAGATTGTTCCTGTCCTGTCTCAGGCCCTGCAAAGGTGCTGCCTAAATCTGCCATGTCAAACAGCCAAGAGGAGCCTTGACTTATTTTATAATTATATATAGAGAGAGGAAAAAGACTCTGGGGTGGTTTAGGGAACCCCAGAAGCTTCATCTCCATCCTCTTGGCTGCTCACTCCTGCACGGGTATGAGGCCAGTTTGGAGCAACGTTCTTCAGGTCTTTAGTGTTCTCCAAGGAATGCAGCTAAGGAGGTTCCCTCCCAGGGTCACCTGCAGCAGGGTGCTCAGACCTCCATGGGGATGCAGGCTGGAGCTTCTCACCCCCCACAGCTCCTGACAGGAGCCTGGAGCCAGGGGGAGGTCGGGCTCTGCTCCCAAGGGACAAGGGACAGGACAAGAGGAAACAGCCTCAAGTTGCCCCAGGGGAGGTTGAGGTTGGCCCTGAGGAACAATTTCTTGCCCTGGAGGGTTGCCCAGGGCTGTGCCAGGCTGCCCAGG